CACCAAAGATAACAAACTTTGACCAAAATCTCCGCCATTTTCAAGTTGTGAAGCCGCAGAGGAGTGGGAACCAGCGGTCTGGTGGATTTTTGAGCAATACAACCACTGATATCAAGGTAGGCCTTTGTTTCTTACACTGGCCTTAATTGCTAACTTATTTTTGAATGTTTTTTGGTAAAGTGTTCGCCTTATATCCATCCGACAACGCGAAAATTTATAAAAACACGAACCTTTTACTGCGTATCACCACCCCCCTCCCACCTCAGTTGCACAACTTTATCTTTCACGAGGGTCTGCATGGGGGGTCATGGCAACGGTTAACGGTAAATTCAGCAGAGCCTATAACGCTTAACGGTAAATTCAGGACGTCGACAACGCTTAACGGCAAATTGACAGGCTTTTTTTCGAGCTGCACTGGATTTAGTATCTCGCTTTGTGAGAAAAGGTGATCACTGACAAAATTACGTATACCTTACATGTAATGAAGAACGCATTAGATGTGTTCCCTGGGTTTCCCACCTGCCCTGGTCCTCTGCGTCCACAAATAAAGGGGAGTCCGAGTCGACGTCGGCCAAGGCTCTACCCAGCTTGCATTTTTTCAGTCTGCCCAGTTTTACCGATGGATTTTGAGAGTGGAGCGCCGAAGGCGCTCGCAATCTAAGGGGGTCCGGGAAGTTAGGATTTTTAAGCCTTCAAAAACGCATTTCCCGCATTTTGAGAGGCAACTCATGGTGTTGAGAGTGTTTGTCGGTCCTTCTGATGTTTTCATATTTTTACTCAAGATTTTTGTTAATTTTGTCTGTCAAGGTTGACGGATTCGTTAACAAATTCTGTAACGCTCCACAAACTTCCGGTTATTGACGGAAAACTGGTGCTGGCTAGAGCCGAAGGGGACCGAGCACAGAAGCGCGAGTCGAGCGCCAAAGGCGAGAGCAATGAAGGGGGGTCCGGGGGCATTCTCCCCCGGGAAATTTTGTATTTTTGAACCTTCAATGACGCATTTTCCTGCACTTTGAAAGGCAAAATTAGGCGTAACGAAGAATCATTCATTAACGCTTAACGCTGAATTCAGGATGACAAATAACGTTTTACGTTGAATTAAAACGACCAATAACGCTTCATGAGGAATATACTGATAACGCTTAACGTTGAATTAGAGCAGGCTGGCAACGATTAACGGTAAATTAAAATAGCCCATAACCGATAACGGTTAACGAAAAAGGGCATGCAGACCCTCTTTCATTTGTCCACAAAATATTATGCGATATAACGCAGAAATCACGAATAACAACATAATTTACTACTATTTCAGGAGTGCAAACATGAAGTTTAGATGGTTAGCAATGTCAAACACCTGCTGCAGTTTTTTCAGTAAAATGTCATTTTATGCACAATTTTCCCAGAAGCAAATTATTTTTTTTCAGTATGGGGTGATATATGTTTTCCCACAAGCAAACAACAGGTGGACAGGTTCTTGGCACATTACTAGTACTTGTTGGATCATTTTAGCCGAAATCTAAAGAAAATGACAATGATAATGATAAAAAAAACAAAGAGAATCTACCTGCCAACCCCCCTTTTTTCAAGACTAAAAGTAAAACCGGTTAGCTGGAACATACCATAGTTCATAGTATGTATAGATGTATTTATCCATACATTTGTTACTTTATCCCATCAGTATCTAAGTTCTAACCATGGACTCCAAGAGAAAGAAGCCCACCCCAGGCCCGAGTGCAAAGAAGCCGCGTTCATCAGATTGGGACGAGGATGAACCGCTGGACTTTGAAGCGCAGCTGGCGATGATGGAGGAGATGGAGCAGGAGGAGACTGGGGCTGGCGGTGGGTACCGGGGAGATCAGTACGCTGGCGGTGGGTACCAGGGAGATCAGTACGCTGGCGGTGGGTACCGGGGAGATCAGTACGCTGGCGGTGGGTACCGGGGAGATCAGTACGCTGGCGGTGGGTACCGGGGAGATCAGTACTCTCCACTAGCCTAACAACACAGGCTGGTAAATAAAGAATTCGCCAGGGGAGTTGGGCCACCATAGAGTTCTGAGCGTTCTGAGGCCTGCACAGTTTCCAACAGGGAATGTTGCTCCCCTTGCCGGTTTTCAACTCTATATTTGTGGACTCTATCCAGGCCTTATGAAGGCGTTATGGAGGCAAGGAGATCAGGACATCCAGGAGAAAGTTTTAC